GGTGCGTCAGCAACATGTGCACGCACACTTTCATGACAGACACAAAGCACTCCCGCCCTCTGTGTATGTGTTTTTATCGCCTCCAGGTGCTATGGAGGTCGAAGCTGTCGGCGACAACAATGACGGCATGCAATCGCCTTTGCCGGCGCCTCCGGCGCCGTCCAATCTGTTGTCCTCATCGAACGACAATGGCGGACTAGGTCAGGCACATGGCACTCATACCATGCGCACACATCACCCATGGATAGCTATGTATCCGCGCAGGTGGTGTGACTGCTGGTTCGCCTTCGGGCGGCAACCATCAAGGCGCTGCGGCTGTAGCAGGTGCGTCGGAAGACGACAACTCACCCAACGGCATGCAGATCGATGAGCATCCTCGCACACACGCGAAGAGATCCACACATTTCTCTCATTCTGATGCTGTCTGTGCATCAGACGTTTTACCCGGATCGGCGTCATCGAGTGCTCAAGGCAAGAGCAACCTCGAGACGCTCATGGAAGGCGCCATGTCCGCCACTGGTACGCGACGCATCACGGCACACAGATCAACACCACACAACACAACTCATTCTGCCTGTGTTGTGTGTTCGTCAGACGTATACGTGAAGTTCGTGGATTTCATAGAGACGGTCAACCCATCGCCTTCTCGCATCCAAGAGTGGGTGGAGCTCAACAAGGTCGACATTAAGAAGCAGACGGCCGCGGCTTATCACGCCATCCACAGCCATTCAGCCATCGTCTTCGAGGAGCGCTTCTTCTACCGCATGTGGATCGGTGCCTACCAGTGGGGCGTCGAGCAACCCATCAAAGACTACACGACCGTGGTGATCCTCGACGAGCGGCTCAAGGGCCACGAGCTGTGGGAAGGCAAAGAGGCCTTCTGCCGCTGGTTTGCGGTCTTGCTCGACAACAAGTTCAAGAGCTACGAGAACTATCACTACAAGATGGCCGGCGCCAGCCAGCTCAGAGCGAATCAAGCTTATCCGGCCTACCGCGTGTTTGTGTGAGATGGGCTTTCATGCTCACCCTTGGGGCTCTGCAGATCGGTGGCGTACCTCAAGACGGACTGGGGTACAACACACACACATACATACACCACCAGCAGCATCACCGCCACACGCACACTGCGATGGCTGCTGTGTGTGTTGGTCAGGTTTGTCGACCGGCGAAAAGCTCGTCTTCCACACCGACGCATACGTGGTGGACTTCAAGAACGAGATCTTTCACGCCGACTGGGATCCTCTCAGTGCGGCCTACTATCGCACCATCAAGGACTCCAGTACGCACCAACACACAGCATGCGCACATGCATCATGTCATCATTGTAGTGTCCATCTGCTTGCGCGTGTGTGTGCAGTCTCGTTATTCAAGAGCCAACACAACATCACGAGCAAGACGCAGCTGACGCCGGTGAGCGAGTACCTCGCTCAGGTGAGCAGCCGCTTCCCCGGGCTCATTCCGTTCAGGCAGGGCAGCAACAAGTTCGCCGCCTTCACGCCACTGCCCGCCGAGTGGATCGAGAAGGAGTTCAAGTCCATCCCTATCGACCACCCAGATCGTAAGCATCCCATCCACCCACGCACATCTGCATGGATGGATGTACATCAAGTCATTCCTCCTTGGTCTAATATGTTTGCAGTGCAAAAGGCCATCCACATTAGGCAGCCTGGCTGTGCGTTCGGAATGGTCAATGATGAGTTTGGTGAGCAGGGGAACAACACGAACGAGGGCCCAGCCACTCACACAATGAGCATGACACAGACACACTCACTGTGTGTGGTCTGTTTCAGAGTCAGCCACCATGCCACTCGAGCACATGGGTGACCTTACAAGCATCCTCGGCAGCCACGTCTACAGCATCGCCCGTGACGCCCACAAGAGCATCAACAGCTACGGCGAGCTGCTGCTGCGCAAGCCAAGCGACCCCATTCGCGTCGCTTTCGAAGAGAAGCACGCCTGGCGCTTCCTGCACGTGCTCAGCAGCATCAGCGCGGGCATGCAAAAAGGTCTGTTCAACAACAACACTGAGGAGCGGATGGTCAACCTCATGAAATCGACCATCGAGAAGCTCGGTGAGGCACTCACACACACACATCCGTGTATGCATGAATCATTCTTCTCGTGCTTTGCCGTTTGATTGTCAGAGTTGGGTGCTGACAAGGGCAAGGGCGATAGCAAGGACGGCAGGGATGGCGGCAACAAGACC